GACGGTAAAGGCTGTCAAAGGTTTCGATTTGTCATCCAATTCTATCTGCCAATATGCGTCTTTTAGGTCCAGTTTCGTAATTATGTTCGCCTTCGGGAGCCGAGCGAAAATGCCTTCGATACTGGGTAATGGATACGCATCCTTTTTCGTGGCGTCATTTAGCTTTCGCGCGTCAAGACAAAGACGAACTTTTCCGGGCTTAACCACTAATCGCATTGGAGAACTCCAAGGACTTTCCGACCGTTCAATGACACCCAAAGCAAGCATTCTGTCAATTTCCTGGAACATCAATTTCTCTACATTGGGACTCACAGGATAATATCTTTGCTTGATTGGCTTTGCATCCCCTAGCTCAATACTATGTTGGATTAAGGAAGTGCGACCTAAACCTTGCTTTTCAAAATTCGGAAATAATGATTTTATAACCTCAAGTTGTTGGTTTTGACTTGGTGACAAAGGAAAGTTAATGTTTTTCGATAACTGGTTAGAATTGGAGTTGATCTCGCTCCGATTGCTACCACAGCCTGGACTGGTTTGCTCTACAGAAATTGCGGAAATGAGACCTGGTGCTAGATTAAATTCCTTCCAAAAATCCACACCTAGTATTAACCGAGTAGATATGGAGGGTATGATAAAAATTTTAAGTGGTTTCTTTACTCCTTGATACTCAACAGATACGTTTAAATACCCAAGAATTTGGTGTGACTTGCCGTCAGCAGTCTTCGCGGTTGTTTGAATAGCATAAAACTGTCTGTCTTTAGAAAAGTCTACTTCTGCTAATGTCGAACCTATACAGCTTATGTTGGCTCCCGTATCAAGTAGTCCTAACTCTGAAAAATCTAAAAAGTTTACTTTCGCATAAAATCTTCCATCTGAGTTATTAGCAAATACTGACGACAGCACCGCTTGCCGAGTAGGTCGGACGTCTTTAAAATATTTCCGAATCCTTACAGAATTTCTCTTTGTTGGCCTTTTTATATCGTTACCGAATATTTTCTGTCTGACTTTCCTATAATTCTGCAATCTTTCGTGGTATGGAACCAAGTGAAATGGAAAACTGGGTTTTAACGTTTCAGTCGGAATGGAATGCAAGTTATCATGAAGCTGGGTATCGCTTGCACTCTCTGAACAATTGAGGGGTGTTGGATTAACGGCGGTTTTTATTTCGGGTGCATCCGGCTGCTTCGGAGTGCACCCTTCAAGGAGTTTTCCATCCGACGTGGTGTGCAGGTGCTACATTGGGGTTTATAAGTGGCAGGTTCCCCACAACCGTAACAAAATACTGTGCGAACGGCGAGACAATCTTGCCAGTGGTGACCTTCTTCTCCGCAATTCCAGCATTTAGCTGGCGTCTTTGCTTGCACGGCGGAGATGTTAGCCTCCTCCTCTTCCTCCACGTTATCTGCCGGAACCGGAACATCATCAATGGCGGAAATGTTACGTCTCACAGTTAATGGCTGCAAGTGTCGAGAGGGTTGGGTACGCTTATAATTTTCATCAGAAAGCAGATTTTCTCTCATCTGGCACAACTTGCGCAGGTGAGCAACCGACCGGATATTAACGTAGAGCAACTCGTGACGAATTTCCGGTTTTAGATTTCGAACCAATATTTCAATAAACTCTTCTTCATCCATGGGGATTGTTAAACGATCACAAATAAGGCAGATAGCCTCATAAAAGGATTCAAAGGATTCTCCTGTTTTTTGTTTCCGACTCCTAATCTGCTCTCGAATATCGAAATTAGAGCGATAGTCTTTAAATTGGTATTTGAGAGCAGCACAAAAGTTTTGCCATTCAATGACCTCTGTTTGCTTGTGGTATCTCCAATACCAATCGCGAGCCTTACCGTTAAGGAGCATGTGTATATGTTTACACAACAGAACGAAATCGTTATTTAAATGGGTTTGCGTAAGTGACCGAATTCGATAAATGAATTCATCGACAGTCGAACCGTCGGATGACCCATCGTATTTTACGTTCCAGTTTTGAATAATATGAATTGTTTTATCTGGGCGAAGATTTGTGAATTGGGGGATAGCGTTCGACTCATTTACTGCATATCGTGAGCCAGTTGGGGACCGACGATACGCGCCTGTGGGAGGACGATCTAAACCAAGGTTAGACAGCATTCGTGACACACTTTCTTCCACTATCTGTGAGACCCGGTTGTAATCAAACGTAGTGTCTTCAGTTACCTCTGTACGTCTTTGACCCATCTCTTCAACCATGTCAATGAGAGGCATTGACTGATTCTGCGGATTCACGTCCAATGTCCGTTGTGCAGCCTCAGGAACGAGAAAAGATTTAGAAGCTGGAGAATTACGCTGGTGCTTGGACCAGCTTCTAGTGGAATGTTTTCGCCCAATTCCACGTCCGCGGTTTTTTGTAGGTTGCTGGCTCGGACAACTGGTGGTTTGTTTGGTGATCGTGATAGGTAAGCAATCTTTAAAATGGCATAACCGGCGACAGCAAGGACATTCGTGTTGTTCTTTCAGCCAGGTGGCAATGCATACCCTATGAAAAACATGGTTGCATAATGTGATGAAGCATTCCTGATCCGCGTTCATGGACTGCTGGCAAATTGAGCAATCACAACCTTCCGTTGAAACGGCCGTCAATTCAGGAATATTATCTTCGCTTCGCGTAACCGGCATTGTAAGTCCGATTACAAAACAAACAAAAGCGAAAAGACGATCGAACTCACTTTAAATTAGCGGTCTTAGCTCTAGGTATGGTAGATAATCAAAACAAATATTTCCTCTTATCTGGCGGGTAGGTGGTCAACATGGAAGCGTTTGAAAATGCGGTTTTGTTGAGAGAAATTAAACAAATTGGGCTATGGAAAACTATCTACAGATGCAGATGTTACTCAAACAGACATCGAGATACTTGTGAATTCGGACAGAACTTAGGCTCGAGAGGCATTCTTAAGTGTGTAAATCCAGAATTCTAAGTAGATGGCAAAAGAAAATTTAAGTTAAACTACATGTATTTCGAGGTAAGGTTTCTACTTTTTGAGCAGATACCTAAAAATCCGTCGCTGATTTGAAGAGAAAAACAAATGGAATTGATACAGCGGTCATCATAATAGGCATCGTTGCCAATAATGTGAAAATCCAGCCGGAATTTTCCATGATCTTAACTATCTTGCAAGAAAAAAATAAAAATACTAGATCTGTTTGCGTACATCTGAACAAAAAAGGTAATCTAAACTCCTACACGAAATTGGAATACATATAAAAAGCGGTCAAGGCACTCGGATACTGAGCCAAGTGCCTGCAAAATCCAGCCCTCATATATATTTAAATTCGGAATAGGAAGCCAAAAAAAATAATACTAAGCTATTTCTTGAACTCTAAATGTATCGGAATTTGAGGCAATCAAGTCGTCATCATGTTTGCATTGGCTAAAAACGAATTAAGTGAATCCCTCTAAAAGGGTATGAACAACGAGCTTGCTGCCCCACGTTGGGCGCCAAAAATGTAATAAGCTTAGTGGGAGAGTTTGGTAAATTAACAAGAAGTCGCTTTGACTAGCTCGTAGAAAAGCCGGACGGGACCCCTTTATCAAGGCTAGGCTTCAGTGGCTGGGGTGGTTCTTGGCTCTTCTAAAAGCTATCCTCACTAGCACATTTTATTATTATAGAGTCCCTAAAACAAAAAAAAAAATACTCCCGAAAGCAAAAGGTAGCAAACAAATGGCCGGTATACTAGCTATACAATAACAAAACAAAGGTACGGGAACTCAGATGTTGGTCTCTCAACAAACCGGAAAAGAAATAAAATCAAGATGGTGTTTGATCTTAGTGGCTCGCCACCCACCCATCCATGGTTTCCGATGGCTGATATTTAACCGGAAACCCCAGAAGCACACTACGCTACCATGACAACCAACCCTGCCAAGAGGAAATTAATTTTTACCACTACTCATGCATTTTTAATAATAAAAATTATCGCATGAGTTACATATGTATCTTCAATTCATTAATGCTTTTATTTAAAATATTATCACTAACTTAACTCGTTACAAAAATAATAGCCGTGTAGAAATAGGCGGAGGTAAATACTATAATATGCTAGCGTTAAGAAAAAATGTAAACAAACGCCTACTGCTTATGTACGTATGTAAGTATGTAGAAATGTATCCTTATGTACCTATTCAACTTTTTCTTATACTATTTACTGTCGCATAAAAAGACAGCAACAAAAAAGTGGAAAAGCGTAGAAAATGTACGTATTAAGATGCGTTCAAACCAACTGTGGGAGAGCAAGAAAGCTTATCTCTGTTTAATCGTAATATACAAATTTTTAAATGGGAACTATAAGCAGTGAGAAGCTTTCTGTAGTTTCCCAGAATGCATAAAAAGAAAACGAAAGGTAATAAAAGCAATATATGACTCACCCAGTTCTCCGCTGCAGAACGATGAAAGGCCTTTCCCGTTGTTGTTGCAGTCGTATAAGCTAGGCTTCAAAATCTTATATGCTGGTTGATGGTAAATAAGATGAGCAGGTGAATATGTACAAATGGACTAATATTAATGTCAAACCGGTTCTTTACTTTTTGCATATATGTACATACTCGGTTTGTCACTACTATGTACTTATTTTGGCTGATGTACACTAGGCTATTCTTCGTCACTTTTCCACTTTTTAACTTTTTAAATTTTTTATTATTATTATTAGATATTATTATTATTGTTATTATTGTTTTTGTTTTAATTTACGAATTGTAAAAGTATTGTGTGAATTTAAGATTTACACAAAATTTAATTAAGTTATTAGTGAAACCACTTTAGCTTTGGGGAAATTCAACAAAGAAAGCTAGTTAACTAGTTAAAGAAAACTGGATTTAGAGTAGTATATATTATAACAGGTTTTAAATTCACTTTTCGGGGAATTATCTCGATGTTTATACATACACATATATATTTATATACATATATAGGTTATATACGCATATAAAAATTCTCTTTTTTCATCTAGCTTTTGAAAAAGAAAATTCTGCTAACGTAGCTAGGCTTTTAATTATTTTTTCAAAACGATATTATAGTCACTATGAGAATTTAGTTTTCGAGTGCACTTTGCGTGTCTTTTGAATTTAACGCGACAAGATTAATAGGCGTTAGTTAGGTACATATGTAATTAGTTACATAGGCATATTCACATGTGTTTCGGATTTCATTGGGTTTTTTTTTTTTTTTTTTTTTTTTTTTTTTTTTTTTTTTGATTAATTCACTTATATGTATATGGGTCTATTTTTCTGTGGTCGTTTTTCAACGGGGGTTTTCGCCGATTTGTTCACTTTTCGGAGGGGGTTTGCCTCCCGCCCTCATCAGCGGCTGGTTAGATTCCCTCGATGAAAAAAACTAAGGCCAAATCTCAAAAAATTTTCGTTGCGGGCACCACCGCTTAACGCGCGCGGACGATGTAGACTAAGGCACCTGCGTTGAGAATGAGCCTGCTATGAGCGCCGCAAGAAAAGGAGCTTTAGATGGAGAACTTTCCTCTCCAAAGTTTTTCCCGGTAGGGCTAAGTATATAGAGAATAAAAAAACATGAGGAATTGAGACATGCGAATTCTATAGACTGCGTATAGTTACCGCTTTGCTTATTCTTCAACGTTTCGAGAAATTAACATAAGAAGCATGCAAATGTTGCGGATGCAAAAGTCCAAGACAGGAAACTTATTATTCTAAATTCAAAAAGGCATTTAAGTTTCGCCGTGTGGATGATAAAATAAAGACATGGGTACTTACAAAATTGGCGGTAATATTGAAGATTAAGTGGATGATTCCGGGATAATTTTTCATCCAACACGTCCTCGCAGCTCAGCATCCAACAGAAAAAAGGAAGTTATGAACTTAGATGCAAGACGGCTTAAGCTATCCGCCGGCGTTTTTGACAATAGTTGTCAAAAGTTGGTGAAACTATTTGCTGAGAGCGGAGTAATCAAAGTTGCATGCGGAAGGGAGTATCGCATGCGAGAAAATTTGTTTGCTTGGCTGCTTGTGCAAGCCTAGACGTGTCGGTTGGAAAAGGTTTGATAGGATTAAGAAATAATACTATGGTATTTTTGGTGAACGTTACACTCTGTGAACACTTTTTTGAGGAACGGAGCTCAAAAGAAAGAAATATTTTTATGACTGCGCCACGGTATGCAGGTGACCAATTTTAAGAACTTTTTAGAATGAGTAGAACAACATTTCAATTAAGATGCAATTGGGCAAATATTTGTATTCATAAAACGAATTTACTTGTACTATATTTCTTAGAACTTATTATGCCCTGTAAATCAACCAAATCTCATTAAAATTTTTACCAATGTGCCTTTGGAAAAGAAGTTGTTGTTTTCGTTATGGTTAATTTGAATGCAAGAGTATTTTTTGCCAGTTGGAGATCGCTTTAATATTCCAAAATGCAGCGGGCACAACATATTCAAAAGTGTTATTCTTGAAATATCCAAATTGACCTCGACATATATATTTAAAGTGGCCCAAAGCATCCAAGCAAGCAAATATATCGGCAACATTCAAAAATCGTTCTGGTTTAAGTGGTGTAATTGCTGTTATAGATGGATGCCACATCCCTATCAAGCAATCAACTGGAAATGCCCAAGATTACTATAATAGAAAACAGTTTCATTCCATAATACTACAAGGAGTGTATGATGCTTCTGGGCATTTCATTGATGTCTTCGTCGGAATGCCTGGTAGTATGCATAACGCACGGGTTTTCAAAAATAGTAATTTATATCAACGATTATCGTGCGCAACTAACCCACTTTTAACCCCTGAACAACATCTTCTCGGAGACACCGCTTATCCACTTCGGACAATTTGCAACAAATCAAATACTAAATAATGTTAGATTCAGTAAAATTAGGTCCATTATTGAACGCGCGTTTGGACGACTTAAAGGAAAATTTCGGTGTTTGAAATGCTTAGATGTTGCCGACATCGATTTCGGAATACATATTACAGCTGCTGCCTGCGTCCTGCACAACTTTATACTTCAATGATGAAATTTTATGTGAAGAGTTTGGTGATGAGTTATTAATAAATAATTCTGAAGAAAATGAAAATTTAAATGAAGAAGGAGGGTCTAATGAGCGAGCACAACAAAAACTAATTAATTTGATGAACAGCTTATTTTAATTTATTGTTATATACATATATATACATATATAATTTGTAAACATTACACAAAATAAAAAATTCACAATTTTTCCAAAAATTGTTGAAGTAGTCGGTTTCTTCCTTTTTGTATTTCAATTGACTGTCCCCCATCTGCGCAGTTATTGGGTAATGGATTATTTCTCTATAACAATAAAATTAATCTTTAAACTTTATTAACTTATAATTTATGGTGTCCCTGTGCAAAATTTATGCTGGAATATCTTTAAAATCACAATCTCAAACGTTGTAGAAATGCAATCAAAAATTTAATTTGCTGATGATAGATTCACTTAAAGTTCCAGATGCGGGCTTTTTCCTATATAATTAAAGATGTATGAAAACTAAAATATGTATAATTGTTACTTTCGTAAAATATTTACTAAATAATTATGGAACTTTACCCAACCATTCATTTCTGGGACTTTACAACTATACATGTGAAACTTCAATAGAAGGGACGGCGGCAGCACTGAGCAGTCCGTTCAACAAAGCTATTCGCTCAGTAAAAGCGCTCAATGAACATGTTTATGCTTGAAATACAATACCGGCGAACGGCAAACTTCGCCGAATTGGGCGATGCTGTCGTTCACCGTTCGCCCAACTATTTCGCCTACTTAAACAGAATTAGAGCGGTAGCGAAAACAGCTGATCCCATTTGGTCGCCTTTATAATTTGGGTGACCATATTTAGAAAAAACTAAACCATATTTAGAAATGAGGAAATGATAACAAATATAAATGTAAAACAAAGAAAGATTATTATAAATAATTTGTTTCAAGCCAGATTTAACGAATCCACAACTATATTTTTCAAACAACAAAAAAAAAATCGTGTTTAGGTTGTTTTCTTTTTAAACTTTGAAAGCACAAAACAAATACGGCCACCTTTGGCACGCACAGCTGTCATCGCCCAGCAGAGCGATAGAAATAAATCTATCGCCATGAAACGCCGCCAAGCGAACTTCGCATTTCGCTTTGGCTGTGTTCAATTTCATATGCTTGCGGGTGTTCTAATTTTGACAGCGCTCAGTTCACTGAACAAAGCCATTTTCTTTGCGCCGACGCTTGTATGCTTTATAACAGAGATGGGCAGTGCCCATCAGTGCTTTATAAAGAGAAGTAGTCAATGATATTGGAGTGCTGTTGTGTTTGTATGGAATGCTATGTGCTAGAGATGGCATGCAAAGAAGTTGCAAACAGTGTTGCCGTTTTAGCCCTTTGGTGGCTAAATTTGGCTATCAAATTCTTTTTTTGGCCACAAAAATTTGAAATTGCTCCTTGCCCTTTTTTGGCCCTTTTCAAAATTTATTCATCATTGACATTAAAATTTTTTATATGATTTTCATGAATTTAACTCTTCGCTCGTAAAGCGAACGCGTTTCCTTTAAGGCAAGTAAACATATGTCTATGTATGTTCCTTACGTTTCTGGGCCGTTATATTATCCATTAACGATTTAACTATACTTTAAAATAGATAAGTTGGCGGCCCTTAATATGCTTTATGTGTTCAACAAAAAGTTTTTTGTTGAATAAAATATTAATTCTTTCCAGAGTTCATCGTTTTTCTATATCATTACTTATAGAAAATGTTTGTTATATATTTATATGTAGGTAAAAAAATTTAGCTACCATTTTCAGCCACAACGACGATTTTTAGCTCTTTTTTAGTTCTTTTTTAGCTGGAATTTAGCTACCACACTCAGAAAAAAGTCAGCCAAATATATTTCTACCAACACATGATTTGGTAACTATAACCAAATAATGTGACTATAACTAAATCATGTGTTGAGAAAAACATATTTAGTTGACGTAACTAAACTCTTTTCTCAGTGCACTAAAAATATTTCGCGGCAACACTGGTTGCAAAGGTATAAGGGAGCATGATTTTGTTTGCTTGTGGTGCAGTATGCTAGGAAATTCTTGCACATAAAATGTGATGAAATAAGAATGTGCAGTTAAGAACACAGTACAGACGTAGCCAACCTTTTTGGGTTGTTGTGGTAGTAATCGTGGTTTTTGTAGCTATATTCACCCTTGAGGAAGGCACTGGGTTGTGTGCTGCTATTTAATGGCCTTCCTCAGACTTTTTCCTAGATTTCAGGGTTGTGTGATGCATTATTACTAGATAAATAAATTTAAGCCTTTGACAAATTGTGATTTTATTAAAAGAAAATTATAAATGGTGTTGAAAAACCAAGCAAACGCTCCTGCGAAAGCTCTATTTTTGTATGTTGTTATAGTTTATACATGGCGATATTGATGGTAATACAAGCAATGTATTCATTTGGGGATTTGATGTCACTTGAGAATTTAGGCAACGTGCGAGCTTCCAGGTTCTGTTATCAATATAATTAACACAAGCTTTCCACTTGGTTGCCTTTCAATAAATAGAATTAACAAATATTCGCAAAATAAATTTTATTTATTTTATAACTGACAACTAACGTACGATTTTTGTTCTTTTCCAGACTCCATTTAAATTTTGACTCTTTATTACCGCCAACAGCTTTAAGTGTATACATATTTACAAGCTGTCAAAATTTTGCGTTGTTCCACGAGCTAGGTAAAAATTATGGCGTTCGTATTCATAACAAGAAATCTCAAAATTTTTGTATGATCCTTCCAAATTTTCAATTTTTAATCAGTTGGCAAAGGCCCTCAGTGGCGGCGCTCCGAGCACTGAGATATTAATTTCATGTCAATTAGTAGAAAAGTTCCATGGTGTAATTCTCGCTGTAAAATTTTTCACCAGCGGGTTGAAAATTTTCATTTACCTCATAGTTGTCAAAAATTTGCAATCCGGAGTATTTGCACAAATAAGGTTACGAAATGCGTTTTATTTAAATCGTTTAAAAAATGAGTCATTTATGTATGTATACCATTTTATGTGGAATTATTCAATAAATTTCGTTTTACACTGTACAATTTGAAACTGGAGTTATTTTTTTTTTCTGAAAAGCAACCCTGCGTGCTTAGAAAGCGTGTGTACCAATAATTTCATCCCTGGCATATTCATCCCCGAGGAAGGCAGTCGCCAAATTCAACCAAGGTTGTTTACTGGTTATATTGTGGTTAAGAAATACAATCATAGTTGAGCGAGAAAGAAAAGAGAAGTTGAGAGTAGTTTGGAGTAGACACAAAATTGATGAGAGTTTTTTATGTGCGCGAAAGAATTCTGGAAGACTCACCACCGCATGGCGGTGACGTTGCTGTTACTTCTCTCTCTCTCTCTATCAACAGTAAATTTGATATGCTGCTACGTACGTCAACCTACGTTTACGCTACGTCGTTGACTAACTGGGCTTTAAGAGTTTATTTTTGTTGCAATAATATCCTACAAGACGCGATTGACAGGATCTCCAACACATTCATAACGAAAACTAACACATATGCAAAATTTTATATGCCAGTTTGGCTCTGTAGGGAACGACTGTCATTTGATCGATCAAGTGAGTGTCAATGCTGATAGAAGTAACGGTAGTTGGTTGCCACAATAACCACAAGATCCACTAGGGCTGCATTTTGTGCTTAACGAAAGTAGTTGTACCTGCCAAATAATGTCGACTACTGAAGTATTTGGATATAATTTTGAACTTAATTAGTTGAATTTTAATTTTATCATTATTCGACCCCGCTCATAGCAAAAGTAAGTAAAAATAAAAGTTTTCATTGTGGCATGACATTCTTTTTATATATAAAAGTAATAAATAAAACCGTATTATAAAGTATTTGGTACTGAAGAAGTTCAAATGCGCACATCAACAGAAAAAAGAAAGACGCAAGACGAAAAGATGCTCAAAACTTAAAGTGCTGTGGAAAAATAAAGATAAGTTTTATAAAATATTTCATTTAAAATTAATAAA